CCCCTCCAGGCCCCACCCCCGCCAAGGAGGCGCTGGGGAAGGTGTACTCCATGGACCCCCAGGAGCTGGAATGCTCCAGAGCGTGGGAGGTGGGAAATCGCCCGTCTGTTCTATGAGGCTGCCAAAACCCTCACCTGCGGCAAAGATATCCAAGGAAAACCAGAGAGAAGCCAGGATCCTGAATCTGATGCAGAGGTCCTAACCAAGAATCAGTGATGAGGGTCTGGCAGTGGTGGGAAAGAACACTGTACCGTGACCCGCGGGGGTGGATCTGTGTCACAAACGCCACGCTGGCCCCCCATCAAGACCCACTGTATCAACAAAATGAGGGGACATGTGGCTACAACAACAGACGATGGAAGAGTACTTCTTTTAAATTCATCAGCCATTCCTAATAAAAAACCTAATTGAAATATGAATAAATAAAAAGTCTAAGCTGAATAAAGCTGATTTTCAAATCCAAAAGCAAACATGGATTGTGGTGCAGCAGGAGGACCTTCCAGGAGCACACACACCCTGGAGCTCCGTCATTATTCAGCTATGCCTCGCAGGTCCCGGCTAATGCAATAGAAACAAAAATTAAATAAGCAATAAAAATATTAGGAAAGGGGAGTCAAAATTATCTTCATGTAGATTATCTGGCTGTATACCTTGAAAATCCAAGGATCTCTGCTCATGATGGAATTAAGAAGGAAAGGCATTGGAAAATAAGTAACTTTCCCTTGCTCTGGGTGCTGTGCCGTTTGTGGCTGCCCCAAGTCCCCCCAACCCCCTCTGCACGTTGTTGACAGTCCCTGCATTATGAACTCCACTTTTCTGGCATTCAGAAACTACATTCCGCAGCCTCCCGGCCCCTAGGGTGTCGCCCCACCACCTCGGCTCTGCCAGGGAGACGCATGCACACACCGCCATCAGAGGGCGCTATGGAGGGCCGGGGCAGCCCCCAGCTGGCCTGGAGTGGCTCCTCAGCCCGCCCAGCAGAGGTGCCTGTGAACCACTCTGCTACACGGACGAGGGGACTCGGCTGATACACTCGAGCGTGTGAGCACAGCCCCCAAACCCAGATGAATAAGGAACACAACAGCAATCATTCCTGTATCAAGTTTTCTCTCCATGGGGCTGGCAGAACCTGCTGTCTCAGTCAACGTCTCCTGTCCAGGGCTGCGTCCACTGGGGGCAGGCTGACAGATCTGTCCCTTCACGTATCTGCTCCAACGCCCCTTGGTCCATCCAGTCCTCGCCCATTGACCAAGGCACGCAGGTGGCACCAAGGCGGCCCTCACTGTGGTTTGCATGCCTCACCCCGCGCCTTGTTCCCAGCCCAGACCTCAGCTTGGAGGCCTGAGGCTGTCGGCAGGCCACTTGTCTGGAGCCCCTCGCCCATCACCTCAAAAGCCATGCCCCTCAGCAGCCTCTTTCTGGGACCCAGCCTCACCCTCCGCTCCTTCCAACCCCTGTCCCCTCTCAGCCCTGGGTCTCTCTTCCTGGTTGAAGGAGGTCCCTCACCCACCCCACCTCCTGCTCCTTGTCTTGAAGTGTTTCGAGGGGCTTCTCCGCAGACTCGCCCCCTCTGTCTTGACGTTTGTCTCCGAGAGGCCCGTGGCACAGTGGGTCGGGGCTCCTGGAAACACGGAAGCCAGCACTCTGAGGGCTCCGTGGGCTGTCACCCTGTCACCCCTCAACCCCTCCACTAGTCATCCTGCTTAAATGGGGGCAGGGGTGGGGGAGCTTTCCAGAAGGCTGTGACTTCTGGAAAGAACTTCACAATGAAAATGAAGAACAGCTGACCACACTAAAAATGACCAATTCTATTTAAAGGCAGAGGGGAAATCCTGCTTACAGCACCACAGAAACTATAAATTACCTAGCAGTAAGTCTGTCAAGGACGTTACAAGATGCACGAAGAAAATGGTGGAACTGCACAGAGGGGCATTACCAGGAGGATAATAAATGGCCGGATACGTGGAGGGAAGACTGAAAACAGTGAAGACACCATCCTCCCCCACTTCAGAGCCAACCGCGTGAAATTCCCATCAGAGTTCTGAGCGTTATTCTGGAACCGGACAAAGAGATTCTCAAATTCGTCTGTCAGAATAAACTGTGAGGAGCAGTAATAATCTTTTCAAAAGATGAGCAGGGAGGGACACTTGCCTCAGCCGTTGTGGACCTGCCGCAGAACCGCCAGAATCGAGAGAGCTCGGCAGGGACCCGCTGACACAGTGCCCGGGGCCCCAGCCAGGCGGCGGGTCAGAAACATGCAGACGCGTGCAGGAACGCATTCTCTTATCTAGGAGGCACATTAAGTCAACAGGGAAAGATGGGTTATTTAATAAGTGGCATTGAGAAAAGCCGGCCATTTACTTGGGACATCGTACACCCCAGGTGGACTGGATATCTGAATGTAGTAGCCAAATCTGTAAAAATACAAGAAGAAAATACAGAGACTATTTTCATAAGGTAAGGGCAGAGGAGTTTCCCTTAAGATCTGAAACCCAAAAACCATAAAAGAACAAGTAGACATATTCGACCACACGGCACTCGAGAACATGCACATGTGTACAGCGCAGACACCACAATCAAAGACCCAGGGAAACACATGCAGAACACACGGGAAAGACTGTGTCCCTCACACACAGAAGGGTCTTACAAACCAGCAAGACAAGACCAAGGCCACACAGAAGGCGGGTGAAGGAACGGGCAGTTAACAGAGGACGAGCAATGGCCAACAGACACGTGAGACGGTCAACCTCACGAATAGTTTTTAGATGGAAATCAGAATGGATCCTACTTTTTGTCTACCAAACTGGGAAAAATTCCTGAAGTTGGATGACATCCACTGCTCGTGAGGGTGGGAGGAACTGTGGAAATGTAACATGCTCCTGACTTCTTGGAGGAATCCCTTTCAGTGCTAGGCAGACAACCTCTCGGGCTCAGCTGCCCACCTCTCGGAATCGATCCGACACAATCAGTCAGGTGAGTCCATGTGAACATGAGGATGAGGACCGTCAGGGCAGCGCTGCTGATGAACACACTGAGAGCAGACCCCTGCGCCCGCAGGTAAGGGTGGTTAATTAAACCCCAGCTCGCTCCTTCAGGGGACACTCTGCTGACACTGAAACCAGAGGCCCGTCTAGACGTGCTGACCAGGAGAGGTGTGCCTGGTGGATTGTTCAGGAACAACCAAATGACACACTGGTTTATCCGCACCATCCATGTGCCCTGCAGACCAGGCACTTCACAGACTGTGGGGTTCAACCCTTCAATGACAATTAGCTAAGGCGGGGACTACACTCAGACGCTCTTAGAGGTGGGGGCACAGACTTCAATCCAGCAGCTTGGATGAGGAGCTGAGATGTGGGGGCTCCGGGCCATGCTGCCCTCCTCGGAAGCCCCCGTTCACTCCTAACCCTATATCATCCTTAAAAGACCTGGGAGAATTCCACTCTTTTTTGTGTTTTAAACACTTCCCTCAAATAATAAATTCAGCAGACAAGGATTGACACAGTTGGTTTGACCCCCATCCGTGGGGTGGTGAGTCCACGTCCTCCCAAGACCTCCACAGCTCCCACCGCTCCAGAGCCTCGCTGGCGCCAGCCTCCGGCCTCATCCGGGTCCTCGAGCTCCTCTTCACATTTTCCGAGAGAGCTGCCATTTTCCAGGTCACCCGCCAGCAGCACCGGGTCCCTACGCTCCCCAAAGCAGCAGACACAGGTGGTGGGTAGCACGCTTTACTGAGGTGGGGGCGGGGACAGGGGTGGGGTACAATGCAGAGCAGCACAGCAAACTTAAAATGCAGCAGGAGACGACCCTCAGAGAAGCCCCACAGCCGTGTCCACCAGCAGGAAGTTAACACCAGTCTCCAGGGACCCCACTCTCCTCCTTGGTTCACATACCCTGGACCCCCAGATCCCTCCTCCTCGCTCATGCAGGGGAGCCCCAGGAGGAATGCCAAGGCCAGCTCTCAGTGGAACCACTGTTCTTTCCGGAGTCCAGGACCCAGGAGTGACCACAGCCTGGGACAGCCACAGAGGGACGAGGAAGACCTAGCCAAAGACCAGACCCCAGGAAAGGCCTGGAGTGGCCGCCGAGCCTCAAGCGGTGAGCCTGGGCCACGGGACAAGCCACATGGCCAGTGAGTGCTGGAGGAGGGGCTGGACTCAGGGGCACAGGGACAAAATCACAGACCTGCCACTGGAGGAGGAAGGGCCAGAGAAGTAGCACCCTCAGATTTACCCACTCAGCCCTCCCTTGCCTCCCCGCCCCCCAAAGCATCCCCGTCCATCTGTGCCATCCCACACAGGGGGGTGGGCTTCCTCAGCCCCTAGTCAGGGGCTGGCCTTCAGGACCCCACCCTCAGTGGCACCCAGCTCAGGATGGGGGTGGGCGACATCTGGTTAAGAGGCAGAGTCTGGGACATGAGGGCTCCACTGGAGCCTGGAGCAGCCCCACCAGTTCTCAGGGGAGCTGCTCGCCTAGTATGACTATCCCCAAATCCAAGAGGGAGCAAGTGAGAGCAGGAGCGAGAGACCCACACACGGGAAGTGTGTGTATCTGTGTCCCCGTGTGCAGGACCTTCGAGCCCAAGAGCAGTGTGCACACAGATGTGGACGTGTGTGGGTGTGCCCGCGCTGGGGCACACCATTCATGAGCTGGTGTGACGTAAATGTTTTGATGTGTGAGTGTGTAAAGATGTGAGCATGGGTGTGTATGTGGAGTGTACCACTGTGCAGGCATGGGGGTGTGTGTGCGCTAGGATGAGTCTGTGTGCGCGTCCAGCGTCCACAGTGCACACGCACATGGTTGTAAGGCCTCCCCCTCAGGCCCACCCGGTGATCTTGTTCATCTCAACTCTAACCGCCCCCTGGCTGCTCCCAAACCTTACCAGAGAGCCCAGCACACCCCCGGTCCCCAAGGTAACCGTTCTCCGTCCTTTCTCAGCACCTCACTCCCTGCTTTCTGCCAGGAAGCCCCCGACCCCCACACCCAGGCTCAGATCCGGGTCTCTGGACTCACAAGTGACTTTATTTCTCCATGGAAGATGCCCTCACAGCCAGGCTGCTGGGCTGGGCCTGGCTCAGAGACCTGGGGGTCCCAGCCTCCTGCCCTCAACCCCGGGCCTCCTGCCCAACGCCTGGTTTCCTGGAGATGTCCTGCTGGCTGGGACTCGAAGCTGGTGGAGAGACAGGGAGGTCTCACGTCTCGGGGAGGGGCGAGGGCCACAGACCATGGAGCCCAGCCAAGGCTGTCCTCAGCCCCAGCCGGGCCAGGCTGGGGAGGGGGCAACCACAGGCTCCGAGGAGCAAGCTCAGAAGCCCTGCAGGAGGGAGGGAACCTCAGGGCCCAGCCCAGAGGAGGGCAGGCCCTAGGCTGAGCAGGAGCCCTCCGGCCAGGACCCAGGGGCTGCCCCCCACCCCGGACACCCCGTTGCACAAATCCTTCTCGCAGCAGTCCACGTCCACTTTCAAGATCCCAGAGTTAATGAAGCCCATCAGATAGTCTGAGAAAAAGTGCCGCTTAACGAAGTCGCAGGATGAGGCACACATCTTGTTCACCGAATGATCCTTCCTGCCTGGGGAAGAGGAGGGGAGCCTGCGACGGGAGCCCCACCTGGGCCCTCTCTGCCTCATGCCCAGGACCCAGCCCGGGACCCAGCCCGGGACCCCAGAACAGCAGAACCGAGGCTCTCAAGCCACCCACGCTGTCTCCAACTAAACGGAAAGGGCCACAGAGGAGCCAGGGAGGGACAACCCCCTGCTCTCATCCCAGGCCAAAGGAGCTCAGGTGACACCCCCACCTCTCCCCACCAGGCCCAGGCCCTGACTTACTGCTGCTGGGATCAGTGATCCGGACGCTGGCACACACTGTGTCCGAGGGCGGGCACTGCTTCGGGGTGCAATGGCTGGAGTTGGTGGTCAGCGTGCAGTCCTGGCACCACAGGCCACGGGCTGTGCGGGGCACGAGGAGGAGCATGACCACAGGAACTGGGGGCCAGGCCAGCCAGATCCCTGCATCCTCCCCACCCCCCGCCCCCTGCCTGCTGCAGGCGGCTCCTGGGAGAACCACGTGGCTGCAGGAGGCTGGGCACCCCCTGCCCAGGAGTGACCAGGCCAGACTGGTACCTGGAAGACAGGCCTGGGAGAATCTGTGCACCTTGTGGGCAGCTTGGGACTCTGAAAATCCCTATGCCCCCTCCCTGGGCCCAGGCGCACACATACACACAACCCAGCGACACGTACCTCACACCTATGGTGCCCTCCTGCACACTCCTACCCCCTCACACACATCCCCAAAGGTTAGGTTGGTTCCAAGCTATGAAAAACCCAACCAGACTTGAAGGGAGGCCAGGTAAGGCTCTGAGAAATGATGGAGCATAAGAACCCCTGCACTGAGCAAGGGGCATCCATGCAGGACCAGCCGCTGGTGGAAGGCCCAGGAGGAAAAGTGCTCGGTGCCCTTAGGAGCCGGGGCAGACGGGACCAGTGTGGCTGGAGCCGGAGCAGCGTGAGCCAGGGCCACAGGGGCAAGGGCTGGGCTGGGATCGCAGAGGTCCGGAAGGGGGTGGGGGTTTGATGGGCACCGTCAGAGGATGGTGGCCCCCCAGCCTGGCTCTCCCCAGAGTTGCCTCGGGCTCTCCCGGCGACCTGGCCCACCCTGCGGGGCCATCCCTACACTCACCGGGAGCAGAGCACAGCAGAGCGGCCAGCAGCACCAGGCCGAGGCCCTTCATGGCTGCAGGCAACATGCTCCAGGCGGGCCTCGGGAAGGCGCGGGCGCTGTGGGCGGGGGTCTTCTGTGGCGCCGGCCTGGCAGAGAAAAGCTTCCGTCAGGAGACCCAGGCACCTGTCAAGGCCGAAGAACTCTCCCCTTTTCTGGCATCAGAACGAAACCTCCTCAGGGGAATCCAAGGCTGGGGGTCGTCTGGGAGCTCCGAAAGCCCCACCCCCAGCCCATCCCCCAGAGCGTCCACCATCACAGCATCCCCTCCAGAGAGAATAGGTCTGCCCTCTCGGGCAGGGTGACAGCCCGAAATGCCCCCACCCCTCGCTCGTCACCTGTGGGATGGGGGTCGGGGGACGCGTCTTCTCCACCCTGGGGATCGGTGGGTGCGTGCGTAGAGGAAAGGGTAGGACAAGGTGCGAGCGGAGAGTACCTGCCGGGGGGGGGGAGGGGCGCGCGCCACGTCCCCACCCCCACCCCTGGGCTGGGGGGCCGGGAACCCCGCGCCGAGCCCCCGCCCCTCGGCTCCCTCGCGCGCGCCTCGGCGCTCACCGCGGATGGAGGCGTGGAGCGCGGGCCTCGGGTCGGGGGATGCACTCACATCCCTGGGGTGTCGGCACTCCGGGGCGCGGGCAGCGCGGGCGGCACGGGGAGCGGTGCCCTTCGGTCTCCCTGCGGACCGGAACCGGAGCGCAGCCTCGTCTTTCGGGGAACGCAGCCGCAGAAGCGGACCCCGCGCGAGGAGCGGGGCGGAGCCGGGACGGGGGCGACGGAGACGCGCGGGCGGGGGCTGGGGGCTCGGGGCTCCGGGCTCGGGGCCCGCGGCAGGTCGCCGTCCCGGGCAGTGCTGCACCCCCTCGCCAGCCGGCACCAGGTCGCCTGCGCGCCTGCCCGCTCCGGTTCCCGCTCCCTCCACCGCTCGCCCCCGGCGTCGTCCCCCATCCCACCTCCCCCTTCCTAGGCGTGGGCAGGATCCCTTCCCCCTCTGCTTGGCTGAGCTCCCCTTGGAATTTCTCGGAAGAACGTTTACTGCAAAAGGAAGCGAAACGCACAAAGACGCAGAGAGGGAGGGCGGTAACGAGTGCGGGTCCCTGTTCACAGACTCCCAGCCTTGGGGCCCCTCTGATCCCCATCCCCGGTTCCGATTGTTCCAGACTGTTCTCCTCCCGCGAGCACCCATGACGCCCCACCAGCAGCCGCAGCCCCAGGGACAGCTGTCCCCAACCACACCCACACCGGGAAGGCAAGTCCCAAATCCTGGTCCCGGCGTTCAGGGCCCTCTGAGCCCGCTTCGGCCCGTTTCTCAGCTTTGGGTCTCCCTTCCCGCCCCACAAAGCGTCTGACGTGCGGTGCCTTTGTGCCTGCCGTCCCCTGTGCCTGGAATCCTACCCCGCAGGACTCTCGTAAGCCACAGCTGCTGTGCAAGTGTTGAGGGTCGTTCCTCTTCGTCCTGCCTTCCTTTCTCCAACGCGTTCCTATGGGTACCCTCTGTTGGCTAGTGCTGCCCTAGGCCCTGGACAACTCTGTGAGAAGGTAGAAGAGGGTTTCTGCCTCCCTATCTTATGTTAGACAGACGATTGTTACTAGTATGTCACTGCAGGGTCTAGCATCGATTACGCACATACTGTTGCAGGGCTCAGAGTGAGAAGGGCCCTGATGAGGCCCAGAGAGTGAGAGTGGGTTCTTGGGCACCTACAGGAAAGAATTCAAGCTGGAGCCACAGAGTAAGACAAAGATAGTTTTATTAAACAGTTAAGCAAGAGTTAGGACAGGCTACAGAGTGCCTAGTCTGTCTAGGAAAGCAGAGAGCCAGCCTTGAGCTGGGTCAAAGGGGACTCTTTCATGGGGTTCTAGAAGGGAAGTGGGTGCAGTGGCTGGGGATTGGGACGTGATCAATTGGCTGATTGGTTTCAAAGCTGCATGTTCAGTATGTGGTCTCTCTGTTGATTGGGTTTTAGCAGGCATGACAAGCTGCTGACTTGTCCCATGTCACAGGGTGTTGTATGGCCAACAGGCTGTGTGGCTTCCCGTTTGTGCAGGCTTATTTCAACCCAGGGCCCCACCTAGTCCACCAAGATGCCTGCCTCAGTACTATGTGTTCTGTTTTAAACACTTGATATCCATGATCTCATTACAGCCTCACAACAACCCTACCCTGCCAGTATTATCATTCCCATCTTACCATGAGGAATGCATGGCTCAGAGAGGTTGAGCCCCCCGCCCAATGTCACACAGTGACCAGGTGACAGCCGACGCTGGAAGCTAAGCCGCCTGGTGCCAGAGCCCATACCCCTCACCGCTCCACGGCTGCTCCTGCAGAGTGAAGGCAAAGGAACAGATAGACAAGTGACCCAAACTTGGGGACTGGGGTTCCCACAGATTCAACGGAATTCAGATATGAGTTCACAGTCAACAATCAGCCAACATCCAAGGAAAATAAGCCCTTAAAGTAAGACGTAGCAGGAATAATGACAAGTAACAGATTTAAATCCCCACAGACTTTCCAAATGGAAGGTATCAGATATAGAATATAAAATTAATGTCTTGTCGGTTTAAGACATATTAAAGGAAGGAACGAGGCACTGTCAAAACTGACCGTGCTTTGCTGAAATAAATAGAACCTTTAGAAGGAAAAACTTTTTATTGAAATTAAAATGTCAGCAGAAACCTTGAAAGAACCACGCTAAGTGAAAGAAACCAGTCATAAAGTAACCTATGTTGTATGGTTTCATTTATGAAGATGTCCAGAATAGAAAAACCCAGGAGAAACAGAAAATAGATTAGTGGTTGCCTGGGGCTGGGGAAGGGGAGGAATGGGCAGTGATTGCTAATGGTCAAGGGGTTCCTCTTCCAGTGATGAAAATGTTCTAAAAATAGACTGTGGCCAGCCCAGTGGCGTAGTGGTTAAGTGAGCGTGCTCCGCGTTGGCGGCCCAGGGTTTGCAGGTTCAGATCCCAGCTGTGCACCAACGCATAACTTGTCAAGCCATGCTGTGACGGCGTCCCATATAAAGTAGAGGAAGATAGACATGGATGTTAGCCCAGGGCTTATCTTCCTCAGCAAAAAAGACAAGGACTGGCATCAGATGTTAACTCAGGGCTGATCTTCCTCGAAAAAAAAATTAAATAAAATAAAATAAAAATATACTGTGATGGTGGTTCCACAACTCTGTGAATATACTAAAAACCACTGAATTGTAAACCTTGAAAGGTTGAATTTTGGGCTGGCCCGGTGGCATAGCAGTTAAGTGCACACACTCCGCTGCAGCGGCCCAGGGTTCGCAGGTTCGGATCCTGGGCATGCACTGATGCACCACTTGTCAAGTCATGCTGTGGTGGCATCCCATATAAAGTGGAGGAAAAGGGGCACAGATGTTAGCCCAGGGCCAGTCTTCCTCAGCAAAAAGAGGAGGATTGGCTATGGATGCTAGCTCAGGGCTGGTCTTCCTCACAAAAAAAAAAAAAAAAAGATTGAATTGTGTGGTATGTGAATTATATTTCAATAAAGCCGTTGTTAAAAAAAAAAACAATTCCACAAATGTGTTAGGCAGCAAACTAGACACAGCTGAAGAGAGAATTTGTGAACTGGAAGATAAATCTAAAGAAATTATCAGGAATGTGGCACTAGGGATAAGGAGATGGAATATAGCAAAGAGAGGTTAACACACACAAAAGATGGTGTGCCAAGAGTTAATATAAGTCTGCTTGAAGTCAGAAAGGAAAAAGAGTCAATATGTGAAAAGATTACGCCTGAGAATATTCCAGAACTGGTGAGAGAGAAGTATTTACTGAAAAGTACAGTGTATACTAAATAGAATAAATCAAAAGAAAATTCACGGCTAGGTACAACATAGTGAAACTGCAGCCACCAAAGACAAAAGAAGAGCTTTAAAACAGCCAAAAAGAAAGGAGGATCGACTCTGAAGAAATAGCAGCTAGAATTTCTGACAGTAGAATTTCAACAGCAGCAATAAAACCCTAAAGACAGTGAAATAGTATCTTTAAAGTGCTCAGAGGAAAATAACTGCCAACTAAGAATTTTATACCCTATTTTCCAAAACTAAGTGTGAAATAAACTTTTCAGATAATTAAAAATTTAGACAATTTTTTTCAGATAAATAAAAATCAGAGAAGTTGAGAGAGTTTACCACTAACAGCCTTTCATTAACGGAACTTCTAAAGAATGTGCTTCAAGAACAACTATCCCAGAAGGAAATGCTAGAATGCAAGAAGGAACTGTGAGTGAAGACGTTGGCTTGAAGAGGGAGATCTAAATTAAGATTATCATATAAGATAGTAAGAAGGTCTGATGTGCAAGGTTTAAACAGACTGGAGTGGACCCTGGACAGCCACAGCCTGTGGAACGGGAGGGGGTGATCGAGTCAGAGGGTCCTGAGACCCCTGCGTTGTTTAGGAGCAACCCTGGTCATATGAACTGTAGACTGTGTTCAGACATGAAGGATGTAGAGGAAAGCTTCAAGGGCAACCAGCAGAAGTGCCAGGGAGGAGCGTTTCACGTGGGAGGGTCAACATGTGCAGAGGCTGGAGCTGGAAAGAAGGTCGGCATGCCTGGCTTACGGTGATCCAGGGGGACTAGAGGGAGATGAGGTAAGAAAAGAGGGCAAATGTCAGACCCCTGGTGGCTTTGAAATCCTAATACAGATGGTGGACTGTGTCCTAAGCACTTCAGTGTGCTAGGTGGGAAGCCTTCAAGCTGCAGGTAAGAAAATATGCATCCAGTGTGATGGTTACTTTTATGTGTCAACTTGGCTGGGTCATGGTGCCCAGACACTTAGTCAAACATTATTCTGGAAGTTTCTGTGAGGATGCCTTTGGATGAGATTAACATTTACATCAGTGGACTTTGAGTGAAGCTGATTGCCCTCCATGCTGTAGGTGGGCCTCATCCAATCAGTTGAAGTCCTGAATAGAACAAAAGACTGACCTCCCCTGAGCAAGAGGGAATTCTGCCAGCAGATAGCCTTTGAACTTAAACCGAAACATTGACTCTTCCTATCTCTCCTGCCTGCTGGTCCACCCTGCAGATCTTGGACTTGCCAGCCTTCATAATCACATGAGCTGGTTAAAATAAATCTCTGTATATATACACATCCCATTGGTTCTGCTTCCCTGGAGAACCCTGTCTGATCTGGGTGTGACTTACACAGGAGGTGAGGAGCTGGTGGGGCTCGTAGCTCTCTGATGTCGAGGCTCCAGCCCCTTTCTGTGGATTCTCTTGGTCATCCCCTCATCATCGAAGGAAGATGGACAAAGGAAAGAGAGCTTGGGAATGGCTTCGAGGTCAGTGGTCGGCTATATCTGCAGAAATGGGAATGGAAAGGGTTGAGGTGAGGGACGGACATCATTGACTTACGTTTCAGAAGATCCTTGTGGCTGCTGAGTGGAGAATGGACTGGAAGCTTCTAGAATGGAGCAGGGAGGTCAATGAGGAGGATGGTGGCTTGGATCAGGGGACGGCAGTGGAAATGGAGGAGGTGGATGGGTTCACCTGTCCAGGATGCCTGCCTCCCGGGCCCTGGCTCAGGAAGCCGATGGGTCCAGGACAGGAGGACAGTGAAAGCGGCTGACCCATGAGACTCTGAAGCATCTTCACAAGTCTGAGACACCCAGGAAGTGCTGGTCAGAGACCTCAAGTACAGGTGGGCTTGGAGGAGAGTCTGGCTGGAGACATCAACGTGGGCATGGTTGGCATAAAGGGAACAGATGCAATTGCCGGGGGAGATGAGGGAAGGGGTCCC